ACCTTGGGGAAACCCACAGGACCTCACTGGTCACCATGGGAAGACAGGGGGACAGGGGACCTCAAGTAACCTCATAAGACCGCCTGGATCATCATGAAAACTCATACAAGACCTCATAGGTCCTCTTTGCCGTGTGCTGCCATTTCGATCCATGCCTTCCATGACCTGCTGTCTTTGCCATTTACCTGCCAGTGAGTGCTTTTCCATTTTGATTACCGTATAGCTATGCCACTGCACAGGCCCCATGAACTGCAGATGTTCTTTTGGCCTTCTTTAGCTGTTTGTCTTATACCCAATTGTGGTTTAATGATTTTGTGGTATCTTCTTCCTCAAACTAGGCCATTCCATCTCAAGTCTAGAGGTTGACACTTTCCATTTTAGTTTGGGATCCATCAATGGTTGATGAGCCATCAGTAAACCCTGCCTTAGCCAGAGAATTTGAACATTCTCTTTGTCCCTGCAGTTGATAGTTGCCTCTCTTGGAGGAGGGGTGACCACTTTAGGTTCTGAACTATTTCTTCAGGGCTAACCATATCCCAGTCACTAAGGAATTCTGATATGTACCATTTCCACTGTAATACTTTTTCTTCCATGCTGAGGACTCTGCCTTTGAAGAGATCCAATCTATCATTGTAAGGAGTGCCCAGATCACCATAGGATAGTTGGCCTTCACTATCAGGGTCTCTATGCCTCAAAAAATGTAGAGAATTTGTTCTGAGAGGATATTTATTCTCCTTATATGGAAAGTGTTTGCAATAGAATCCATATGGTAAATGTAGGTGGAATCCTCTTTGCTTTATTAAGAGTCCATAGATGCCAAATAAGCAATAAATATGATATCTATCATCAGGATACCATCTGGTTAAACAGTGATCAAGGTTGCATGCAGAGAAGAGCATAAAGGCAGTCACAAAAGCTGCTGTTTGTTCCTGTCCCCATTGGAAATTAGCTGCCTTTCTAGTAATTCTGTAGAGGATTGATTACAATAACCCTTAACCACGGCATCTGACTTTTGACCCTGAGTAGTGGCATTAAAAATGTGAATTACCATGCCTTTAAGAAACAAGTAAGCTATAGAGATCTGTCTGTCTCTGCAGGGATGAAGAGCATGGGCCATCACTGCTCTCTCTAACATCTTAGCTCCCAACCTAACTCTGAGAGATTTAGAAAAACAGTTTGAACTGTAGTAACCCTTTGAATTAATTTAAAAAATGTAAATCTCTTAACTGTGATTTTTAACAGCAAACAATAAAAATATCCTTTTTGTTTAAGAAGAAAACTCAAAAGCTGATGTCCAAAATGTCATGGGTCACGTTACTATCTACAGTCTAACATTGTCGCATGGAATTGAGACATGTGGTACAAGAAAACCCATGTTTCATTTCATGCCACAAAAGACAAGTGTGCCATTGGTAAATTACCATTTGAAATTTTTTAAAAAAATTTTTTCTTATCTGACCAAATGAAAGGCATTTGTTACTCTTTATATTAGCTTCGATTGAATGACCAAGATGTCTGATGAACTGTCACCTCTTCTTAAGTAGGTCCTTCCTATTCAAAAATTATCTGTATCAATCCTGATTGTATTCACTGCTATTTTTTTCTCCTGTGAAAGCAAAGGTAAAATCTCCTCCCCAATGGAACACATATCCCAGTTTCCATTCTGAAATTGACACATCTTTAAAATACACAAACTAATTTAACTCAGAAGTTCTTTGTACTATACACTCTCTCTCTGTGCCTATTGTCTCTTCTCATGGGCATATGAAAATTTGAAGATAATAAAACACTGTGTAATCTAACTTTGGGAGTTTTGATGCTGACAGATAATGATTAGATGAAATTTGATATTGGGGCCTCCAGAAGGCCCATTCAGAACATTTCCTAATGTCAAAGGGTTACATTGTCTGTGCCTTCATGATCTGAATCCAGCAGTACAATGCCAGCTTTTGCCAAGCCTCCTGCATACTCCAGAAGGCTGAGACCTTTTTTAATTATCTCTAGAAAAAATGATGGGCATTCTATGCAGGGGCTTTACCCATGAGCCACAACATTCCCTGGATTTATTAAATATTGCACTGTACTCATGTTTATTGCCATAACTGAGTTTGGGTCCAGAAGCTCAAAACTATCTACTAAGCCCATCTACAACATTACTGCCATCACCCCATGTTCCACACTGGTTATGTTTCATTTTCACAGTGAGCTTACACTCACTGGTGGATACTTATGATGTAGTTGGCATATCAGAAGTTGTAACATGTGAAGTGTTGCAGAGTAATGGGAATCACAGGGAGAGTGTAGGGAGTCATGGTGTGATGGGGCTAGCTGAGCACCATTGGTACTATCCAGGCTGATTTCCCAGTGCAGGAGTCCTGGTCATCATCCTGCAGGCTGAGGAAGGTGGTCCCTAAGGCTTTATCTTACAGAGGTGAATGATGGAGACTGAATGGCTGAGCTGTCTCCTCAGCAGCCCTGAGCTTGCATCAGCTGCATCTATAGCAAGACACAACCACACAACTCTGTATCTAAATCAAAACCCAATCTTCAGTGGTCATACATGGCTGGAGCAGGGACATGTCCCTGAGGCACCTGGTCCAGGCTGGATCCAGCAAGCTATCCCTCTTTGTACAGAGAGTTTTCTCTATGTCCCATTACCTGACTGTGCTCCACAGAGCCAATAGTAACTAGATTCTCAGCAGCAAGACTGTCATTTGGCCTCTCAGTGCCTTCTCCTCCAAGAGCTAGCCAGGATAGCCTCCTGCATCTTCAAAGCCCCCTTTAGCCCAAAGGCTTCTTTGGCAGGTTCTATAATCTGGCGTGGGCAGGGGTTTCATAAGCGGCCACCCTGAGCCAGGATGCAACCATGGACCTCTTCACTGGAACTTGGTACTGAGTACCAGATTCAGGACAGGAGCTGATCCAACTCAGAACCTGTGTTTGGATACCCCAGTTGTTGAAAATATTTCTCATTTAAATGTTTGGGAAGAAAAAATTCAAACAATTATTTTGTTACCCTTGATGGGATAACAGATCATGTTTGATATTCACCAAATCTTGGCATCCATATTGGCCTCTTCATGGGGGAAATATTCAGCTTCTAGGGATTTGAACTTTATTTCAGGTAAAACAAAGTACAAAAGGGATGGAATATATAGGGCCAGAATGACAAACAGGAAAAGTAATGCAATACATGGACAAAACAGCCATGAATTTATGGGGATATTATTTGTTACCACATTCAAAAACACAGATTATATTTTAATGACTCAAGGCCGTATGTACTCACAGCAAGAATAAACCAGGCACTGTCCACTGTCTGAACTTCAGGTCAGCAAACACTCTGTCTATTTGGCTCTAGATAGAAAGTCACAATGCCTCCCCTGTACTTGGGGTCTCCATTGGCACATCTTGGGGAATTCTAGAGTCTGGAGATGCCTTGCCATGCCCAAAAACCCATTAAGTCAACTTGGAGTATAATATCAATTTATGAAAAGCCCAGCTTTGACCTGTGACCTCCACACGTGCACATTCACACAAAGAACACACACAAAATGATACAACTGAGGGCTAGAGACATGATTTTGGTGGCTATGATACTTGCAGCCAAACCTGCTTAATATCTGAGAACCCTCCTTGGGAACCACATGGTTGAAGGAGAAAATGGATTCAGATAAGTTGTCCTCTGATTCCCACACATGCATGTGCTCACCCCTACATTAATAAATACATGCAGACTTAAAATCTTTATAAGAGTACACAAGGGATACATGGGTTCAAATCCTGCTAATGGTCCATTTATTGTCTTTTGCCTTTGTCGAGTGACTTCACCTCCCTATGCCTCTTATACATACAGATGTAAGTGCACCACACTTGTTACCATAGTTACAATAACCAATTGAAACAATACCCAGAATTGCTCTAGCCATGACTGTCTTCCTTCTCTGTTACAGTTTCCCACGTGAGAATTGGAAGGATTTTGCAATAGTTTGCCACCTGGGAGGTTTTTCAATTTTGTGTAATCTCAGCTTACTGTGAGCAAGAAGAAAGTCTCTTTTTCATCATTCTCCTTGTCCTTGTCCAGGGACTCCTGGGCACATCTCTGGCCCTGGCATGCTCACTCACCCACTATATGAGGCCACTGAAGCTGCAACTAAGCCATGATCATGGTCTCGGTAGTGTATGTCTCTCTCTTCATAAGCAATGCCTGACACTGCATTGGTGGTCCTAGCCCACATGAGACTCTCAGGACATTTTGACCCAAAAGAGGATTGAATTCCTGGGCCTCTTCCCATCCTTCTATGCTGAAATGCAGGCATTCCATTTCAAGGAAGTTTCTGGAATATAATCCAACCCCAGAAACATTCTGATCTTCTCATGCACCTCTGGCTACTACCTGTGAGCCCCACGACACACAGGCCACTCTGTGCTCTGGCTTGCTCATTCCCAAGTCCAGCCCTGTTCTCCAGGTACTTAGGAAGCCAAGCCAAGGGGCAGGATTCAAGGACTACAGTGTGAGTTCTAGGCCAGTCTAGGCAACTGAGATAGACCCCATCTCAAAACACACACACACAGTTTATTTTAACAAAAGTTTGTGTTTGCAGTTTTGATTTGGTTTTGAGGCAGGTTCTCAGTGTAGACCTGTATATGAAAAACATGGCTACCTCAATGTTTTCATAACAGATGTTGGTCATTGGATAGAATATTTGCTCAGCACACACAAGACCTCTGCATAAACAGGGCATGGTAGTAAAACCTGTCATCCCAGTAACTGGAGGTGGAAACAGACACGTCTGAAGTTCAAGGTCAGCCTGAACTTCATCAGCCTGTATAAAAAAAGAAAAAAAAAAGATTAACAAAAAAATATCAGGGCTCAGTGTTCATCATGGCATGGCTCAGCAGGTAAAAGTGCTTGCGACCAAGACGGATGGACCTGGTGTGGTCCTCAGAACAGACATGGCAGAAAGGAAGAACTGGGTCACACAGGCTGACATCTGATTTCAAACTATATTATTCATGAGGACATACAAAGATAACAATAATAAAATGAATCTTAAAAGAAATAAAAAGGGATGAGAAATTGTTTAGCAGTTTAGCACCTGGCATGGACTGCACGGTGACCATTGCTGTTTGACAAAGTTCCAGCATTTCCACATTGCCGATCTTAATTCTCCAGCATCACTTTTATTTCAATTTTAATAATTCTCACTATATGTTATGGAGTTTCCTTATGCCTTTTACTGTGGGAAATTTATTTTGCTGGCTACACTGGAGGATGGGAACATATACATAGGCAAGGCAGTCTCTTTAAACAAAATTCTTGGAAAAAATCCCCACCACCATGGAACCACACAATGTCATTAATATGCCTATTCCCACACAAAAAACCCCATTGTGTTACCCTGATTACACCAAAAATAGAGAACTTAATGATATACTAACTGGACACACCTAGTTGCAAGGATAAAAGCAACTATGAAAGGAAACAATGGGTTCACATCCAGAAAGGCATGAAGATACTTGCTGAATTTATCACTTCTTGCCCCAGGAAAAATGCTGCAATGAGGTTGATGACTACTTTTATCCTGGAATCATTAAGCTGTTTTTAACCTGCTTGAGTCTAAACTAAGATTCAGTTATAGAGCATAAAATGTGTAGTTGTTTTTCAATAAAGCAGCAGCCATACTGTTTCATGCTCAGATCATGGCAGTCTCCTTCCTCTACTGATGCTTGATCTCTTCTTTGGGACCTGAAGCCCTATGACACTGGACTCCAGCAAGTACCTCTTGCAGAAAATACAATTCAGTTTCCAACACCCACATGGCAGCTCACATCAGCTCACACCTTAAATTACTACATTGATTACATCCATATGTTACTGTCCAGTATGAATTCTTATGACTGTGAAGATAACTCTTCTTTGCAAATGCTTTATCACATTGGTCACATTTATAGGGTTTCTCCCCAGTATGAATTCTTTCATGACTTAGAAGGCTACTCTTCTGTACAAAGGCTTTACCACATTGATTACATTCATAGGGTTTCTCTCCCATATGAATTCTTCCATGGGTGAAACGATAACTCTTTGTTGCAAAGGCTTTACCACATCAATTACATTCATAGGGTTTCTCTCCGGATGAATTCTTTCATGACTTTGAAGTCTAATCTTCTGTGCAAAGGCTTTACCACATATGTCACATTTATATGGTTTCTCTCCAGTATGAATTCTTTCATGAACTAGAAGGCTACTGTTCTGTATAAAGGTTTTACCACAATGATTACATTCATAGGGTTTCTCTCCAGTATGAATTCTTTTATGAATTCGAAGACTACACTTCCGTGCAAAGCCTTTACCACATTGATTACATTCATAAGGTTTCTCTCCAGTATGAATTCTTTCATGGCTGAGAAGATAACTCTTCATTGCAAAGGCTTTACCACATTGATTACATTCATGGGGTTTTTCTCCAGTATGAATTCTTTCATGACTTTGAAGATAACTCTTTTTTGCAAAGGCTTTACCACATTGATTACATTCATAGGGTATCTCTCCAGTATGAATTCTTTCATGAATTTGAAGACTAGTCTTCTGTGCAAAGGATTTACCACACTGATTACATTCATAAGGTTTCTCTCCAGTATGAATTCTTTCATGGCTGAGAAGATAACTCTTCATTGCAAAGGCTTTACCACATTGATTACATTCATGGGGTTTCTCTCCAGTATGGAGGTTTTCATGGGTGAGAAGATAACTCTTTTTTGCAAAGGCTTTACCACATTGATTACATTCATAGGGTTTCTCTCCAGTATGAATTCTTTTATGAATTCGAAGACTACCCTTCTGTGCAAAGGCTTTACCACATTGTTCACATTCATATGGTTTCTCTCCAGTATGAATTCTTTCATGTCTTTGAAGATTACTCTTTTGTGCAAAGGCTTTATCACATTGATTGCATTCATAGGGTTTCTCTCCAGTATGAATTCTTTCATGACCTCGAAGACTATTCTTTCCTGTAAATGATTTACCACATTGATTATATAAATAGGGTTTCTCTCTTATATGAAATCTTTCATGACTGTGAAGATTTCTTGTCTCTGCAAAAGCTTTATCACATTGATTATATTCATATGTTTTCTCTTCAGTATGAACTCTTTCATGTCTGTGAAGATCACTCATCTGTACACAGGCTTTACTACATTGATTACCTTCATAGCATTTCTCTTGTGTTTGAATTCTATGTACTTGATGATGAAGATTGCCACATGCAAAGGCTTTATAACTTTGAATATATTCATAGGGTTTTCCTTCCAAATGAGTTTTTTGGTGTTCTTCTAAAGAGCAATCAGATCTGAAGGCTTTATCATGTTGATTACATTCATAGAGAGCCTCTTCATTATTGGTTCTTTGGTGTGTTTGACAAGGCCTGTCAAGCCTAAAGCCTTTAGTAGATGACTCACATTTATTATTTTCTCTTCCCACATGAGCTTTTTCACATCTTTGAACAGAACATGAAGAATTCAGGGTTTGTCCACACTGATTGCATTCATAACATTTTCTTATACTGTGAGCCACACTACATGTGCACAGTGAACCAGTAGAGACAGATGAATATCCATATAACTGGTACTCATAAGGTTGTTCTCCAATGAGAGTTTCTTGATGAATTCCCACTGAAGTTGGAAAACCAATTAAGTGTAAACTTCTATCATAGTCATCATGTTTTCTCATAGTGGGGACTACCACATATCTTCCAGTTGTTCTCAGAGAGACAGAACTACAATGCTTCTTTCCATGTCCCTTATGGTCACATGAATTGTATCCAGAGTGACAGATGACACACCGGCTAAAGGAAGATAACAAATAAAGGGTTTTCACATTGCATTCACTTAGTCAAATGTTTTGTGTCATACAGATGTGGAATAGAGATTCATGTTTCTACACCAAGACAACCTCCTGGTCTCTCATAAAGTGCTCCTCTCACTAAACTATGCTAAATCAATCACTATAAGTATATGAGCAACACTAGCTTTAATACCAAAGCTTTGCTTAAAAAAGGTCTTGGCCGCCGGGCGGTGGTGGCGCACGCCTTTAATCCCAGCACTCGGGAGGCAGAGCCAGGCGGATCTCTGTGACTTCAAGGCCAGCCTGGGCTACCAAGTGAGTTCCAGGAAAAGGCGCAAAGCTACACAGAGAAACCCTGTCTCGAAAAACCAAAAAAAAAAAAAAAAAAAAAGGTCTTGGCCATACACTAATGCCCTCATCAATGATAAGGCAGGATGGTAATTGGATGCACAGTTCAACAACATGCCTCTTACATGGCTATGATTGAAACTGTGACATCTACTATGGCATTATTTCCTTGTTTTGTCCTTAAGGGAATGCTTTGCAAACAGTGATCAGCTACCTGACATTGGAGTACATGGTGTTGTGACAATTTAATAATCATCACAAAGCTGTGCCTATTTACACAGTTGCTTCTCATTAAAAGTTCAGGGCACATTAACATTTTTTTCAAACTGGAATCTCCTGCTAAGGCAGCCCCATTGCAGAAAGCCCGCCATCCATGGCTCCTCCCTCAGAGATGTCTGGGACTGTGCCTACCAGCTATTTAAGACCCAGCCCGTACATCTGCCATGGGTGCTCTTGTGATCTGTCTCCTGCTTTCCTGAGAGCCACCTGGGAGTGCTCTGCTTTGCGCTGCCCTGTTTATTAAATCTGGATTTATTAACTCAGTTTGATTTGGCTTATTGCATCAGTGATATAGGAACCCACCAACTGGAGATCCAATACTTATCTTTGGTGCACTGGCCGGGGTGAGTAGTCCTTCCACAACCATGAGGTGTGGCTGTGGATGGACATTCACTCTCTCTCCCCACTCCACCTTTGCCACACTGAATGAACAGCTCAGTAAGCCTCCCATTCCCAAACAAAATGTCTTAAGAGGCCAGGACCTCTTCCAACCTGCAGACTGCCTGCTGAGCCACTGCAGTGCCAGGTGACTCCAGCCTGTTTCAGGGTAGAGACAGTCGCTGCCCTTGGAATTCCCTGTGTGAGAGAGACTTCACCAGTGTCCACCCCACACACAGCTCCCAGATGTGATTTGTGTACCTGCCCTCACAACCACATCCCCAGCAAATGGCTTGTGAATGGGTACTTGCTGAGTCCAATTTCTGTCACCAGAAACTCTGGGGTTGTCTCCTCCAAATTAGGGATGCAAGAATACTGCCCCCATACCTCTCTCTTCCTTGTTACTCTGCATCTTGTTCCCAGCGTGTAGTTCGGCCGCACTGTGATTCTAATGCTCCCATTCCTCTCCCTCCCCAGCTCCTTTTGTCTGTCTGTCTGCCTCTCTCCTTTCTGTTATATGATTCGGTCACACCGGGATTCTCCTTGTAAAACATTCATTCTTTTGTTCCTGTCTGCTCTCACATCCTGAACTACTGCATAAATGTCTCCAGCCTGTTTGTCTGACTGTTTGCTCCCTCATTCTTTCCTCCCTCCCACCAGAGACGCTGCTGCAACCACACCACACCACCACCACTAACCTCCACCACCGCCACCTCCATCACCACCACTTCCATCACCATCTCCATCATCACCACCACCACAACTACCACTGACTTCACCTCCACCAACACCTCCGCCGCTGCTTCTACCACCTTCACTACCACCTCTACCACCACCGCCGCCACCACCTTGCTGCACCCCAGAGGGGGTCCCTGTGTCCAAACTCCCCACCCCTAAAATTCTACCTGCACACTCCACCCTTAAACCTGTTCTCCTTCAATACACTCTGCTACACCTTCCTCCCTCCTAAAAATCTCTTTTTCCAAAATTCTCAACTTGCTGCTCTGACTTACTCAACGGGGCAGCATGTGCTGCTACTCTGTTTTTTTCAGTTTCCCTCTGCAGCAACTTCTTTGGGATCTGGGTATCAGGCTTCCAAACCTGAGAGAAGCCTCATTAAAAAAAAAATTGTTTCTGTTAATGATTCTGTTTACTTTTTATGTGTGGTGGAATTGTGTGAATGGTGTGGCCACACATGTGTTTCTGACTAGTTTTGAATGCCTGAGTTTATGTGTCCTTAATGTGTCTTGCTAAATGGGTATGTTTTAAAATCTGTAAGGCTTGTGACTCCAGATGGAAACTGTTCTAGAGAACATCACCAGTCACCATTTTGATTGAGGTAAAAGAAATACTTCACCACCATCTTTAATAAGGGTAACCACTTGGAATGGCCCAACCAAGGAGACATTAGGTCTCCAATATAATTTGGGTTAGGATATATTTCTGTTTGATAATTTCTGTCCTGTCCTAAAAACAAGGTTTATTAAACAGGATTTAAAACAATGCTGGTTTTGACCACTGATATTGAAATATAAATTGTTAGTAATGTTAATACTTGGTATAGCCTGATATATCTTAGGATCACCACTGAAAACTACAGACTGAATCTTCTGGCTTTTACTAACATCGGTAAGCTGTAACTAATTGGGTAAACTGTACATTTAGACTTAACTTACATATGCCCTCAAAGTTAAATCTAAACAACATTTGTCTAGTATAGATATACCAAACAGATTTTGTTCCCCCATTCTCAAAAACTCTGAGAGAACTGAGAATATAGCATTCAATATAAAAGCTTTCTATGAGAGACATGCCAACTCCTGGAAACATCCTGCATCTTCTCTAACAAAAAAAAAAAAAAAAAACAAGAAGCACTCAGGCCTCACTCAAATTTTCTCCTAGAGTAAAACATTCATGCCAGTTCTATATTTATCTATTGAATTATGAAGCTAATAATTCCCTGGAGGTAAAGCATTTTTAAGAAGTTACTGACAGATCAATGAGGTCTCAAGAACATTAGTAAAGTAAATGCTGATCCTAAAACAGTAAAACAAACACCAAAAGCGTGGGAGTATAGACAGATGCGTCAACAGATAAGATCACACATTTGAAAATAATGTAAAAGTTTAAAACCATACACAAAGGTAGGGACAATATTACACATCGACAATTCAGTGATTCAGCAGATCACTATTAATTTCATGAATAAATGCATTCTTGCTTTGAAAAATGACACCCATGCCAAAGTTCAAAAGTCATGACAGGGGTAAAGTTCAGCGCAAGAGCAAATGCCTGACAGTACAAAAACCTGACTCAATCTGCCAAAAATATAAACATAAAAATATCAGGCAACAAATATGGATTGGCAAGGAAAACCAATTGCTTCTACTGTACCTTACATTATTTAGGAATGGAGTCTCTACTGTTGGTGATGGCATGCCTACATGAGAAGGAAGGGGGCTGCTCACTTTCAACAAAATAAAGGAATGTGGTGAGACTACATTCCTCTATAAAGGTTCCTTCTCCTAAGGAGAAGTCACCAATTGTGACTGTATGTCAATATTGTGATTGTAAGTCACCAATGAAGGCTCAGACCAAAGACAAATGCTCAAACTCAGCACACTACCTGGAAGATTTTTCATTCAACCCTCAACATTTTGACACAGGTCATGAGAGGCTCAAGTCCAAACACGATGGACAATGCATTTATTCTGATTTCAAAGATTCCCACATTATGTGATAGTCCCAATACTGTTTGAATGTACACAGGTGAAAAGGGCTCTTTAAATGCTCTTTGTGCGGCAGAACCTCTTAAAGGAGCTGTATCTGCTTTTCTTTGTTCTTTTTGTTTTGTTTTGTTTTCTTTTTACTTTTTTTTTCAGCTGTCTCAGAATGTTTGTGGAAATTCCATGCCCCTCATTGAAACACCGAATGTACCAGGCATTTTTAGGGGGACACCAGCAAGCTCCCACACCATGGCATAGAGACTTATTATTAGTTTTGAATGCTTGGCCTAGCTTAGGTTCATCTCTGAGTAGCTCTTTCAACTTAAATTAACCTGTTTCTCTTATTCTGCCTTATGCCCCGGGGCTTTGTACCTTTCATTCTTTCTGTAAATCTTTCCTGCTCTCTCCATGTCTGACTGGCGGCTGCCAGGCTCCTGGCCCTGGGTGTGTTCCTCTCTTTCTCCCTCATTCTCTCCTTTCTTCCTCCCTCTCTTTCTTCTGAAGCATAAATTTCTGCTCCTGTTTATTCTCTCTGCCCACCATCCCTGTGCATACCTCTTCAGCCTAGGTATTGGCCATTCAGCTTGTTATTAGACCACTCAG